GGCAGGAGTGCTGGAGTGGGGAGCCATTGCCTTTTCCTCATCTGATATAGGTGAAGTATATCACCTATACTTCAATTTAAAAAGGGTTCAAAACATACATTAAAAAAACAAAGCTTAATTCTGCAAATTTGGCAAATGCCCTCCAAGCAAATGTGACTACAGGGTTTTGAATACCTCCTAGGTTTCTGACTTAATTTAGGTTTTGGCCTGTTAATTCTTTACTGTTTTGTTGGCTTTATCCATGCTTTAAGAAGGAAGATAATTATATTTCCCTCAGCATTTTAAATCATCTTTAGTGCAAGGTTAACCATCTGTGTTGAAGAAAACAGAAGTCTGTTTCACTTTTCCGGCACAACTTTTTATCTTCATCAGAATTAACACGTTTTTTCCCCCTTAACTTTTCTACATGTGTGTGTGTGGGTTGGTTCAGTCATATCTGACTCCGCCCTGCCACGAACTGTAGCCCCACCAGGATCCTCTAGATACTTTTCATTAATACATCCCCAAGTTCTCCTCTGGTTAAGCAAATCTCTTTGCAGTAAGTTCCAATGTCTTAGGTATTCTATAAATTTTATTTCTTAAAAAAATCACTCCTGAATCCTGAATTTCTCTAATCTTGATGAATTGATCTCTGGTCCTGCCCTCCAACTTGAAATCTCCCTTTAACATCACCTTGTGGATTCCTTTTTCTCTTTTGTGTGGATACTCTGTTTCATGGATTTCATACCTTTCTCTCTTTTGACTAATTTATTTGTCTTGATGTAATAAATCCCCTCCTAACTTTCTGAAGAACAATGCATGGAATATCTGTGTTTTGAATTGCGTGTCTGAAATTGTCTTTATCTTGGACTCAGATCACAGTTTGGCTGTGTGTATTAATAGAATTCTAGGTTGGAAACAGTTTCCTTCAAAATCTTGAAGCCATTCTTTAGTGTCTTCTGCCTTACAGAGTTTTGATACGCCAAATGCTATTCTGATTCTTGATCTTGTATGCAACTTGTCCTTTTTCTCTGGAAGCTCTTAGAATTGTTTGTCTGTGTCCAGTGTTCTGAAATTCTATGAGGAAGGATTTGGTGTGGGTTTGCTATCAGTGTGCCCTTCCAATTTAGAGACTTTCTTCATTTCAGGATAACACAATACTTTAGAATAATTTTGGTGATTATTTCTTCCCTTCTCTGTCCTTTTTGTGAAACCCTCACTATTCAGAGAGGCTCCCCCGGTGGCTCAGTGGGAAAGAACCCACCTGTGACGCAGGAGACCCAGGTTCAATCTCTGGGTCGGGAAGATCCCCTGGCCGAGGGAATGGCAACCCGCTCTAGTATTCTTGCCTGGAGAATTCTTTGGACGGAGGAGCTGATTGGGCTGTGGTCCATGGGAGTCGCAAAGAGTTGGATACGACTGAAGCAACTGAGCACGCGCGTGTGCACTATTCAGACACTGGACCTGCTGGACTGATCCTTGACTTTTTATTAATCTTCTCCTAAAGTAGGACAAATTTCATTTTCTTTCTTTCTTTCAAAGACTTATTTATTTATGGCTGCACTGGGTCTTCACTTTTGCATGCAGGGCCTTTCTCTAGTTGTGGAGAGAGGGATCTCTTCATCGTGATGCTCAGGCTTCTCACTGGAGTGGCTTCTCCTGTTGCAGACCCCAGGGTCTAGAGCGATGGATCAGGAGTTGCAGTGCACAGGCTTAGTTGCTCTGAGGCTTGTGGGATCTTCCCGGATCAGGGACTGAAGCCATGTCTCCTGCATTGGCAGGCAGATTCCCAACCATTAATTTTCAACTTTATCCTCTAGTCCTTCTATTGAATTTTAATTTTTATTGGTTTTGATTTCCAAGAGCTCTTTTTTTTCTTATCTGAATAGTAGCTGCTTTTAAAAATTGCTTCCTTAAAAAAAATAGCTTCCTGTTGTAAATTTTTTAAGTCAAAAATTTTATTTCTAAAATATAATCCAATGACTTCATGATCTTTCATGAAGAAACAAACCACCAATTCTCTAAAGGATAAAGCAAATTGAACCTGTCTATAACTACATATCTTGCCTGGATAGTCACAGAATATTTCATTCAATAATCAAAGAAAGTGATTTTTCCAATGAGGAGTCAAGAGATCTATATTACAGTTCAAACTCTTTAAAATTAAAATACATAATATACTGCAATATAACACAAGATTTGTAGGAGGGATGAGCAAGATAGTAGTTCAGTTTCCTTTTTGTAAATAAGGTGAGTAAGTCTATTTAATTTATAATCCTTATTGTACTTAATACCTGAAAATTCTAATTTAGGGCTCAGACTTTGGTCTTATCATCCAAAATAGCAACCAAATTAAAAAAATGCAGTAATTCTTCTACTTTAGCTTATTACATATTAAAAACTCAAAAGACCAAAAATTCTATAATAGGTATTACCAATGAACAAAAATCTAAAAAGTTCATGGCAATGCATCACATAGAATTACCTTGCAATGTTTTTGTTTAGACTTTTTAAATACAGTACTTACATATTTCTTTCATACATTCATACTTGTCTTGGCAATTTCACATCTATAAAAATCTTATAATCATTCTTTAATAAATACAAAAGAATAAAAACACCTGTGAAATTTAGACAAACAACGTTAGCACTAGGTATAACCCATCGAGATTCTTAGTTTAACTCATTCAGTTACTACAAAGATCTTTATAGTGTTGAATCTAATACTGTATATTGTATATCACTGCCCTCTGATGGCATCACCAATATATAATTTTAAATTAAGCAAGCAAAAGAAAAACTTTATTATAATGTAATACAGAGTATGTCAATTTTATAAGCTACAGAGGTAGAAAATAAATCATAAGAAGTTTAATGTTTTCTAGATATATTAATTTCTTAATAAGTTCTAAAAACTTACAGTGTTCCTTCATATAAGCCCTTCAAATAATTTTTCAAGATTTTCCCTGATGATCAGTTCAAAAGGCACTGAGTCTCTAAGCAAAAATCTTCACATATAATGAAATAATGAGATATAAGGTTAAGTGACAAATTAAAAATAGCTAGATCACTTTATAAAGGAGGGAAAATACAAGTGCAAGTTTGAATATTTGAGATGTATGTAAAATTTTTCCATGCAATATATAAATATATATTCACAGTTTAGGTCCATGTTCTAAACTGCTGAAAAATGGCAAATCACCCACTGTCTGCAGAAGAGCAGCACATGTAGGGAAAATAAGTATTTAATGAAAGGTCTGGCCATTTTCTAAGTCTGACAATCAAAAGCATTTTCAATATTCAGTTTTGAAAAAGCACGGCACTTAAGAGCACTAAAATCAAAGTCTGAATCTTCATTTATTCAAAGAGAAGAGATTAAATTGAGGATGTCCACTTGATTGCAGGTAGAGTCATTGGCAGTGGACTCTTACACTCATGCTTTATAAAACTCTCCGTCTAAGTCCACCTTCTGGTGGGGGTTCAGATGTAGCCATTTCTTTTTCTATTTTTCCCCTTTTCTTTCTCTTTTCTTCCACAAACTGAACATTCAGAATACTCCGAGATGCAGCCTCCTTCTGTCTTCTCTCTGTAGCCTCTGCAGGCTTTGCCCTTTTTTCTTCCAGGTCCGGCAAGGGAGGCGAGGCCTCCGTGGGACAGGGAAAACACCCCCCCCGCGACCACCACCACCACGGGGATCGCGGTTGGGGGTCCCCTCCTCGGCCCGCCCAAACCAGGCGGTGAGAACTGCGCGATCAAACGCGGGTCCCAGGTCTGCGGTGCTCGCTCCGCCCTGCTTCTGCTATAATTTTATGCACACAATATATTATTTCTCTGAGGCTCTTACTGATGGGTTTTTGTTTGTTTGAATTAATTTTCGGTTGCTTTTTCTCCCTTGCAATTTTTTCCTCTGAGTTGCTGTTTTTCTTCTTCTTGTTTTGGTTTCTTCTTTGTGTATTAAAGACATTCCTTAAATATTTTATGATCCTTGGCTGTCCGCCTATATTTCGGAGTGAGGCTATCAAAAAGCTGACTGGAAAGACTGTGTGCCGGCGAGGACGCGAGGGCTTCCCCGCTGGCTCGGACTGAGAAGAATCTGCCTGCAGTGCAGGATTCTCGGCCAAGGACTTAAACGTAGGATTAACTCATCTTATTTCTTTAAGAGAACCCTGATGATGAAAATATCTTTGGGATTTCTCTGTTGGGCGGGACAGAGTCTGCAGATAAGTTTTTCCAAAGATATAGTCATGCTCTTGTTTATGTTTGTTTAGTAATCAATTTCTCAGGATTGCTTAATCAGTTCCCGTTCCTCCATTTGCTTTCTAGCTTCTGAAACGTTGCCGCTGTCTTCTTTCCCTTTTGTTCCTACGTGGCCTGGAGGACAATACCTACGTTTGTTACTCAGCTCTCTAGCTCCCAGTTTTCAACTGTAAGTTCCCATTATTTCTTTAGGATAATTTTTATTGGAAGACAACTGCAGGATGGTCCAGAAAGGTTTTGACACAAATTACCAGATCACCCTAAAGTTGTAAGCATACATGAAAAGAGGAATGCTACTTGTTTTGTGCCAAGTATCAAGTAGCTTTCAGGAGTACTGTGTGCACGCACCCATCCACCTCAAACATCCGCTTGGCGGCGGCCAGACACAACACAAAAGATGACTTAAAAGCAATCAGAAATGCGTACAGCAGCTGGGCTAGAACAGAAAAAAAAAACACACCCCACTGCTTCGCGGGGCCCGGCATGTAGACCGCGCCTCCCGGGAACTGGGAGAGGGGAGGAGGGGGTCGGATATCATTGGTGATTGGCTGGCTTCTTCAACCAATCACGCGTAGCGAGTGATTTCGCTAATTGTCATGCTACACCTCCTCGTGGGCTTTAGAGCTACGTTGGCAAATGGGAATAGGGCACGTGGGAGGGACAGAAAGTTTGGCCAATAAGACCTTGGGGCGTTAGGGGCGGGATGAGGCCGCCGCCAGGTTGTGGGCGGAAGGAGTTGTTCTGGATTAGAAGGGGAACGAAAGATGGCGGCGGAGACGCTGCTGTCCAGTCTGTTGGGGCTGCTACTTCTGGGGCTCCTGTTCCCCGCAAGTCTGACCGGCGGGGTCGGGAGCCTGAACCTGGAGGAGCTGAGTGAGATGCGTTATGGGATCGAGATACTGCCGTTGCCTGTCATGGGAGGCCAGGTGAGGAGGCGTAGGGGGGCGAGGGTCCTGGGCAGAAAGGGGAGGAGGAGAAGGTGGAGGAAGAAGGGCCGCTGTGGAGTCTGTGGCGGAGGCCGGAGGGGAGTCGGGGAGAGTGAGCAGCGGCTTTATGAGCACGCGTGAGGATCGCAGTCAAAGACCCACTCCCTCGGGGCCGGGGGCTGGGAGGGGTGGGGCTTCCCGCTGTCAGCCTCAGGTCCCAGTTCCTCATTGAAGCGCCCGGACTCCTCCCCGTGAAGAAGTGGGCGTGCCGTCTCCCCTCGGCCGCCGAGCGCCGCCGCAGGACTGGTGGCTCGCTCCGTCTGGACTGGGCTCTTCCCCATGATGTGAAGAGGGGTCTCGTTGTCCTCCCTGATCCCCGACCTCTCTTTGCCTCCCTGTCCCCCGACGCCCACTTCTTTCCCAGAGCCAGGCTTCGGACGTGGTGATTGTCTCCTCTAAGTACAAGCAGCGCTATGAATGTCGCCTGCCAGCTGGAGCTATTCACTTCCAGCGTGAAAGGGAGGAGGAGGCACCTGCCTACCAAGGGCCTGGGATCCCGGAGTTGTTGAGCCCGATGAAAGATGCTCCCTGCCTGCTGAAGGTGAAAGGAACTGGGATAGAGGGAAGGGGCGTGGAAACTAGTTATCTGTTTGGGAACTAATTATCTGTCCACAGTGTGTCTGTGAATGAGGGCTATCTGCAGGAGTTAAGAAGGCCATTGAAGGAGCAGGCCTATTGTACAGACAGGAAAGAAACAAAGAATGCTGTAACCAGTGATGATGCTTTGCTGATTATAGAGGAGTGTTAGGATAGACAATCTCAGAATAAAGATTAAACCAATATTGAGGTGCTTAAAGAGGGCCAGGCTGGGGCAGTCGGGGTACTCCCCTAGAGAAACTTTCCTGGTTAAGTCACCCCTTCCCTGTCACTCTCTGCTCAGTGTCCTGTTTTATTTTCATCATGGCACTTCTCATGATCTGAAATTACTAACTGAATTATCAGTTGATTTATTTTTGGTCTGAGTCCCAGTACTAGAACGTAAGTCTGTGAAATCAGAATTTAAAAGAGAATGTATCTTGTTCACAGCTGTATCCACAGTAGCTAAAACAGTACAAGGAACTTCAATTAATACTTTGATATTCCATGTTTCCCTGGTCTGAGTGCTTCAAGGATATCATGATTTCTTATCTTTATGGACAACAAAGAAGGATTAAATAAAAATATTTACAAAGAAAAAAATTAAAAAAAATATTTAGAAAGAGAAGAGTAGTAAACCAACTAGGTTATAGAGGTCTCTCTCCAAGTTACAGAAGACAGACAGCCCTCCTCACCAAGAATCTGGAGGATTAAGAATAAGGGGGAGATGAGAAGTAAATCAGTGGTTGTCTGTTTTGGGGCCAGGAGAGATTTTGGTTCCAAGAAGAGGTGTCTGCACTCCATCCCCCTGACTGATCTTTTTTTCTTTTACTGTCAGACCAAGGACTGGTGGACATATGAATTCTGTTATGGTCGCCACATCCAGCAGTACCATATGGAAGGTGAGTTCCACCTATGTTTTCCCTAAGCCCTCAGAAACCTGTCACGGAAGGTGACCTGCCTCCCGGTTCCCTTCCCTCCCAGTCCTCTGAGAACAGGGTAACCATACTTCACTGTGCTCTCCCTTGCAGACTCAGAGATCAAAGGTGAAGTCCTCTATCTCGGCTACTACCAATCGGCCTTCGACTGGGATGATGAAACAGCAAAGGTGGCGGGAGTGTGTTACCGGGAGAGAAAGGGGTCTGGGCTGCAGATGAGAGCCCTGTCAAGAAGGGGAGGGTCAGGGTTAGCTGACGTGTTTCTCTGGGCTTCGTCTTAGGAGAGAGTGCTCTTTTTTTCCTCCTTGCTGTCTTTCTCACACCCCTCCCTCATGCCTGATGTCCTCCCCAGGCCTCCAAGCAGCATCGCCTGAAACGCTACCACAGCCAGACCTATGGCAATGGGTCCAAGTGCGACCTCAATGGGAGGCCCCGGGAGGCCGAGGTTCGGGTGAGTCTGGGGAGAGGGCCGTTGACACTCCGACAGAGAGAACTCCGAGTCTACGGGAAGAGAGCAGGGCGGTGCGGTACAGTCAAGAGTGCCGCTACCAGGCTCTAGACCCTAAGTTTAAGACTCATATTTCCAGCTTTGCGTCCCTGCCTCAATTTTCACAGGCACTTCCGTTTTTTTTTTTAAACTGGTGTATAATTGCTTTCCAATGTTGTGTTAGGTTCTGCTCTCCGACAACATGAATCAGCTGTATGTGTACATATATGCCCCCACTCTGGAGCCTCCCGTGTCCCTGCCCCCACGTCCCACTCCTCTAGATGATCACATAGCCCCGAACTGAGCTCCTTGCGCTATGCGGGAGCTTCCCACTAGCTACCTGTTTTACACATGGAAATGTATACATGTCAGTGCTACTCTGTTAATTCATCCCACCTACTCCTTACCCCACTGTGCCCAGAAGTCCATTATCCTATGTCTGCATCTCTATTCCTGCCCTGCAAATAGGTTCATCAGTACCATTTTTCTAGATTCCATATATACACATTAATATATGATATTTGTTTTTGTCTTTCTGACTTCACTGTATATGACAGAATCTAGGTTCATCCACATCACTACAAATGACCCAGTTTTGTTCCTTTCTATGGCTAATGTTCCACTGTATACATGTACCACATCTTCTTTATGTTTTCTTCTGTTGATGAACGTTTAAGTTGCTTCCATGTCCTGGCTACTGTAAATAGTGCTGCTCTGAGCACTGGGGTACATGTGTCTTTTTCAATTATGGTTTTCTCAGGGTGTATACCCCGTGGTGGGATTGCTGCATCATACGGTAGTTTTAGTTTTTTAAGGAAGCTCTGTACTGTTCTCTGGGCTTCCGAGGTGGCGCTAGTGGTAAAGAACCTGTCTGTTGAAGGAGATGTAAGAGACTTTGGATTCCATCCCTGGGTTGGGAAGATCCCCTGGAGGAGGACATGGCAACCCAGTCCAGTATTCTTGCCTGGAGAATTCCATAGACAGAGGAGCCTGGTGGGCTGCAGTCCATGGGGTTACAAAAAGTTAGACGTGACTGAAGCAACTTAGCACACACGTATACTGTTCTCCATAGTGGTTGTATCAATTTCATTCCTACCAACCAACCACACTTTTATCTGTGTTTCTCCCTTCTGTCACCTAAGCTGGACACCTGAGTTTCATTACTAACTCTTACTGCTTCACTTTGTCCTCCTTTCTTCACTTACTGACTCTGCAGTGAGGTCGTGCTGGTGTCGGTATTGGGCTTCGCTCTGGAGATGCAGTGGTGGGCAGACATGCAGCCCCTACCCTCATGGACTGCAGGTGGGAGAGGAAGGCAGAGGTTAAAGAATCACAAAAATGAGCCTGTGATTACAAGCTGGGAAGTGATGGAAAGGAAAGGAATCAGAATCAATAACAAAGTTCCTTCATTCTACTTCTATATTTCTCTCGTAGCTGTGCTCTTCTTTCCTATGCTTCATGCCTTCATCTCTCACCTGCATCACCTCCAGCAGCCTCTTACCTGATATCATGGTACTTAAAGGAATTCAGGCAGGCAGCTGTCTGGTAGGCCAAGTTCCTCAGGTGATTCTAATGTGTGTTCACAAACATATACACCTGTACAGAGCCAGGACACAACAGTTCTCTTTATGTAATACAGATTTGCACATGCAGTTGTGTGGTGGTAAGTGTGGGACACGAGGATCGCCCAGGTAGGGTGGGGTGGTAGAGGGGGAGCCCGGGTGTAATGTCTGCCAATATCCATGGTATAAATATCCCCACCATGGCCAAGTGCATGCTATCACGGTAACGTCGATCGTCGTGCAGCATTCCTGAACACTGACCAGTCGGCTCTTGTGAACTGGCCTGGGCTCTAACACCACTCTGAGCAAGTGTAACTCCTCTCCCGAGTTCTGGGAAGCCTTCAACAACTCTGCCTGGCACAAATGATAAGACCCAAATACTGCAGAGCAGACTGGGGTGGTAGCAGCAGAGAAGGTGGGAAGCAGCCAGGTTCTGGATAGATTTTGAGGATAGCGCCAATAAGATTTGTTGAAGGATTGGATGTGACGGGGAGTCTACGATGATTCCAAGGCCTTTAGCTTGAGCAGCTGGAAAAATGAAATTGTCATTTAGTTAAGTGGGGGGGAATGGGTGTGGAGGAGGAAAGTAGGCTGGTGTGGACACATGAAGGTCAAAATGCCTAGTAGATATCCCAGTGGTGATGGTCAGTTGGTAGTTGGCTCTCTAATTCTGGAATTCCAGGACAGGATCTGGGTTAGAGATATAAAATCTTACAGCATTTCTGTCCCACTGCTCTTCTTCCTGCCCTTTGATTTGTTGTTGTTGTTTGTTTTAAAAAACTGCTTGTTTATTTGGCTGCGCTGAATCTTGGTTGGGGCGTGTGGGATCTAGCTTTTCCCAACCAGGGATGGAAGCCAGGCCTCCGCACTGGGAGCACAGAGTCTTGTGACTGGACCACCAGGGACGTCCCCTTCCTGTCTTGTGGACCACTGAGTCTATTTCCCCTGCCTAGAGACCTCCGAACGGCTGTCCCCATCCTCTGATTCAGATTACATATCCCTGTGACACCTCCGCAGGGAGACCTGATGTGGGCCCACAGACACACACCCTTTCGCCTTCATCTTGGTAAACACCTATGGAGTTTTATATTCTTCAAAGCATGTGTCGTTTCCTGAAATTAGCTTTATTTTTGGGGTTTAATTTCTTTGTCTGTCCCCACTAGGATAAGCTCCAGGAAGTCAGGGACAATATCTGACTGTCTTATTTTCTGCTGTATCCTCAGTGTCTTCCACAGTGCCTGGCACCAAGTAGACGCCCAGAGGTTATTCACTGAAAGAATGGAATGGATGATGAGCCATTTCAAATGTTGCTTTATTTTTTGTGGCCTTTCTTGGCTGGCCCGGAACAGTCACTGTGCTGTCTCAGAGCTTCGTGTATCGGCACATCCGCGTCCACATACATCCACACCTTAGCCTCTTTGGGCTGCCGTAACAGACTACCACGGGCTAGGTAGCTTACAACAACCGAAATTCATTTCTCACAGTTCTGGAAGCTGTAAGTCTGAGACTGGGGTGCCAGTGAGGTTGGGTGAGGACCCTCTTCCAGTCACAGACTTCTTGTATCCTCACAAAGGAGCTCTGTGGGGTCTCTTTCATAAGAGCATTAATCCCATTCATGAGGGCTCCATCCTCATGACCTAAGCATTTCTGACAGGACCCTCTCCTGATATCGTCACAGTGGGTATTAGGATTTCAACCTAAAAATTTTAGGGAGACACAGACATTCAGACCACAGCAATCCACAGCACCCACACACATACATAATCTATTATAGCACTTACTTCATTGTAGTCTGTATATTTCTTTACTTGTTTGTATGTTCAGTAACACTGAGAACTGAAGGCAAAGACTTCATTTTCCTCATAGCTGCTGACAGTATGCCCTGTTCCAAGCACTGTGATAGAAACCGGAGAGGAAATGCTGACTGAGAGCCCTAGTCCTGCTGTCGGGAGACAGACATCGTACAAACAGCCACGGCACGTGGGCACACTCTCTGATGGGGCGGTGTTTTTACAGGGGAACACACAATGAAAGAACTAACCCAGGTCCAGGGGAGACCTCTGGGGAAGATGACGTTTGGACCAGAAGTAGAAGGATGAGGAGTTTGTCCAGCCACTGCAGAGGAGTGGAAAGGCGAGGGTGTTCCAGGTGGAAGGTGCATTCAGTTCAGAAGGCTTGGAGATGGCAGGGATGGATAGCTGTGCACAGTGACCGGGGGGGAACCACGGGAGGTGAGGCTGGGCACTCGCTAGGGGACAAGTCACACGTCACGCGAAGCTCTGCACCTGTGTGCAGGAGTTTGGACAATCTGAGAAATGAGGGGAAACCAATGAAGTATTGGGTTGGCCAAAAAGTTCATTCAGGTTTTCCCGTAAGCTGTCCTAGGAAAAACCCAAATGAACTTTTTGCCAGCCTGATCTTTTGAGCAGATGCTGACAAATTCAGTGTTGGTTTTGAAGGCTTACTCTGGCTCAGTTCAGTTCAGTCGCTCAGTCATGTCCGACTCTTTGTGACTCAATGAACCGCAGCACGCCAGGCCTCCCTGTCCATCACCAACTCCCAGAGTCCACCCAAACCCATGTCCATCAAGTTGGTGATGCCATCCAGCCATCTCATCCTCTGCCGTCCCCTTCTCCTGCCCTCAATCTTTCCCAGCATCAGGGTCTTTTCAAATGAGTCAGCTCTTCGCATCAGGTGGCCAAAGTATTGGAGTCTCAGCTTCAGCATCAGTCCTTCCAATAAACACCCAGGACTGATCTCCTTTAGGATGGACTGGTTGGATCTCCTTGCAGTGTCCAAGGGACTCTCAGGAGTCTTCTCCAACACCACAGTTCAAAAGCATCAATTCTTATGCGCTCAGATTTCTTCACAGTCCAACTCTCACATCCATATGTGACCACTGGAAAAACCATAGCCTTGACTAGACGGACCTTTGTTGACAAACTAATGCCTCTGCTTTTTAATATGCTGTCTAGGTTGGTCATAACTTTCTTTCCAAGGAGTAAGTGTCTTTTAATTTCATGGCTGCAGTCACCATCTGCAGTGATTTTGGAGCCCCCCAAAATAAAGTCAGCCACTGTTTCCCCATCTATTTCCCATGAAGTGATGGGACTGGATGCCATGATCTTAGTTTTCTGAATGTTGAGCTTTAAGCCAACTTTTTCACTCTCCTCTTTCACTTTCATCAAGACGCTTTTTAGTTCCTCTTCACTTTCTGCCATAAGGGTGATGTCATCTGCATATCTGAGGTTACTGATATTTCTCCCAGCAATTTTGATTCCAGTTTGTGCTTTATCCAGCCCACGATTTCTCATGAAATACTCTGCATATAAGTTAAATAAGCAGGATGACAATATATAGCCTTGACATTCTCCTTTTCCTATTTGGAACCAGTCTGTTGTT